TCTATTAGTTCTTTCAACATAAAATCATCAATAAAAAAGCATGAACCAAAAAAAAAAATCAACTAAATGCAAAACTGTCATCAGCAAGTAACAAGACCTTCCAGAGAACTTTCTTCTTTTCCAGGCAAGGCCTTGAAGGAAACCACACAAACACGCTGAGGTAGCCTTGAGAGAAGAACAAATGTGAGTAGCTTGCAAGGCCCAGGGAGCACATTGCTTTCCATCAATTCTGCAGCTCTGTGCCGATGTCTATACTAACACAATGACGGGAGCAAAGTGCAATTCATAACATGTGTGAGAAGGCAGGTCAGGACACACTGTGCATGACCTGTGCATGAGAAGTGTCTACACTTGCTTCTGGTTCAGGGTCAGGAAACATAAGCATTGTGCCCAAAGCAATCTCGGTTTCACATCCTTGTTAATGATTAAGCATACAAGTTGAACACCAATATATACAATATATACATAGTTAGGCATTTTAAGGAAATTTTATGTAAAAAAAATACATGGTGCCTTTTCACAGCAATAGAAAGGTAACCAAGATGGAATACTTGGTGGGTAGTTGGTGGAATTGTTTTGGAAGGATTAGGAGGGGGTGATTTTGTTGAAGCAGGTGTGTCACTATGGGTGGGCTTTAAAGTTTCAAAAGCCCCCTCTGCCTCTACCTTGCAGATAAGATGTAAGCTCTCAGCTACTGCTCCAGTACCATGCCTGCCTTCCTGCTGCTAGGTTTCCGGCCATGATGGTCATGGACTCATCCTCTGAAAGTACAAGCAAACCTTCAAGTAAATGCTTTCTCTTACAAGTTGCCTTGGTTATGGCATCTTTTCACAGCAATTAAAAAAAAAAGTAACCAAGACATCAGCACAAGACCTCCATTATTTTACATCAAAGGAACAATGTGATTCAACTAGAGGAGGAATGAAAGGCACCAAATAAAAGGACTTTATTACTTTATTGGTAAAAAGTATTGTTACTGAAGCCTGGCAGTGGTGGCACACACCTTTGATCCCAGCACTTGGGAGGCAGAGACAGGAGGATCTCTGTGAGTTCGAGGCTAGTCTGGTCTACAGAGTGAGTTCTAGGACAGGCTCCAAAGATACAGAGAGAAACCCTGTCTGGAAAACAAAACAAACAAACAAACAAACAAAAAATGTATTATTACCGAGTATTCGTGTCCATAGCCTGCCTCCTTAGTTTGCCTGTATTCCAAAAGAAAATAGTTAACATGGGCTGGCAAGATGGCTTAGAATTGAAGTAAAGATGCTTGCCACTAACTTTCATGATCTGAGATCAATCTCCAGGACTCTGGTGAAAGAATTAAACTGGGCCCCTCAAGTTGTCCTCAGACCTCCACATACACTGTGTGACATGCATGCACTCATACTGATGTGTGAGTAAATGTGTAAGTAAATAAATGTAATTTAAAAATGTAAACTCTAAGCCAGGAGGTGGTGGTGCATGCCTTTAATCCCAACACTCGGGAGGGATCTCTGAGTTCAAGGCCAGGATGGTCTGCAGATCAAGTTTCAGGATGGCCAGGACTACACAGAGAAACCCTGTCTCAAAAACCAAAATAAATAAATGAAAACTTTTTTTAAAACAACCACAGGAAATAGAAATTAATATGGGGGAAAATGGATTTACTTACAGTTTGGCCAGGCCAAGGAAAGAAAGGACCTCATTTCTTATCACCATGTGTGTTGAAGCTTAACAATTTATAAAAAATAGTGGGACAACGCCAGATGATATGTACATTTAGCCTTGATGATATGTACAAATTAACCTTTCCTGGGAGAAAAACAGCTTGGCTCCAGGTTGTGTGTATTGCTGCTGCTTCCTGTTAGTTTTTTTTTTTTTTTTTTTATTCAAATCTAAGACTGAGAAAAGTGGGATAGACATTCTGTCCTAAAATGCCCCTTAATTTTGGGACAGGGTCCCTCATGTTTCCCAGACTGACCTCAAATTCATTATGTAGCCAAGGATGACCTTGAACACCTGATCCTCCTGCTTCTTCCTCTGCTCCTGGAGCGCTCGGATTACAAGACTGTTCCACTATGCCCACTCTGGGTGGTACTCCTGACCAAACCTTGTGCCTCTTATGTGCTAGGCAAGCCTTCTACCAATGAAGAGCTATCTCAAGCCCCCCAGATCTCCCCTTTCCCTTTTTGAAAGGAAAAAGAAGAGTCTTGGGATCTTATGAGTTAGTGGATAGAAGACCCAGACCCAGACCTGGAAAGCTGGCTCGGTGGTTAAATAAGAGTACTTACTGCTCTTGCAGGGGACCTGGGTTTAGTTTCCGGCCTCCACACAACAGCTCACAACTGTCTATAACTCCAGTTCCAGAAGATCTGACATCCTCTCCTGGACTTCGTGTACCACAGACCATGGCACACACATGGTACACATACATGCATGGAATTAAACACTCATAAAATAAAAATTAATAGTTCAGTAAGAGCCATATCTGTTCCTAGCCTGACGGTCACTCCATCTCTTTATTTGTGTGTGTGTGTGTGTGTGTGTGTGTGTGTGTGTGTGTGTGTGTGTGTGTTTTGTTTTGAACATAGTCGCACACTGTAGCTTAGACTATTCTAGAACTCACTGTGTAGCCCAGGCTAGCCTCTAAGCAACCCTCCTCTGGTTTCCCAGTGCTGGGATGATAGTCATGAGCCACCACGCCCAGGTTGGATCATTCCTTTGCTGGGTATAGATAGGGTCAAAGTGTTTTGTATATTTTCTTTGGAGATCAGCTTCAAGCTCTAACCCCTGCATGTATGTTAATAACAGCTAAAAGAGAGGTACAGATATCTCCGTAGAATTTAGAATAGTTCTTCTGTCTGCCAGGGCTCCAGCCCTTCCTTCTAGCAGAGAATCACAGTGAGAGTTTCCGGATGTTTTCACAAGTGTACGGGCCGATTGTGTTACGTTAGCTTCAGGAAGTATTTCCCCTGTGTCTTTATTTGGAAGCTAAACATCGTTAAAAGGTGTGTTTGGATGCCAAGCCGACAGAAGGTTAGACCGAAAAATGAATCTGTCCTATGCTCATTTGTCTAAGAGCAACGCGGTTGTTGACCTCCCGGCCCTGCGTCATTCGTAGCTCATGTGAGCCGAAGAAGTATTTTTTTTTTCTAAAGACGTGGAATACAGGAACGAAGGGGCAAACGCATTCCTCGGGAGGTTGGTGCAGGCATGAGGTACCGCTGCACCCCTTGCACGCACTCGGGCTGCCTGTCTGCTGACTCACTCACGTAGTCACAGTCGGGTGGGGCCGCCGCTGGGGCCTCGGTGCAGCAGTTCTGAGTGGAGCTTATGATTCACTTTCTCTGGCTTTGGGGTCAAGTGCGTTTTCGTTTTTTTTTTTTTTTTTTTCTTCCAACCTCCTAGACACACAGGGCACCAGTTTCTCTCACAGAGTGTCCCTATCCTTAGCGTTAGAGGCCTGGAGGCAGACAGACAGGAGTTCCGGTCCTTCATTGTGGTTTCCAGCCAAGCTTCAAAGACTGCCCGTTCCTTGATCTTCCCATTCCAGATTCACGCACCCCTCCCGACTGCCTGCCTGCCTCCCTTGCAAACTCAGACTGCAGCACGGAACAGAAACACAGCTCCCACTTGGTTGCTTCGTTGTCTGGGGGTTGGTGATGGGTGTTAGGAATGGAACCCAGGGCCTTACCATGCTAGGCAATTGCTCTACCACTGAGCTACATGCCCAGCCCTTGATGGGTTTTTTGTTGTTGTTTTGAAACCATATTCCACGCCGACCTCAAATTTGCAGTCTTTCTGACTTCACCTACTGATTTGAGGTAAAGTAGGTATTTTATAGAGTCAAATCCCCACGATAAATATTTTCTTCTGCGTGTTTATATTTTCTGCTAGTTCTGCTACTCTCATGGTCCAGAATGAGGAAAGCTTGGTTGCCAAATATTCAGTTTTCCTATAATACATACAGCACCATTTTAAAGGCTCCACAAAGGTGGTCCAGGCTTGGTGGCTAGGTGGATAGGAACAGTGGGTTAGTGGAGGCAGGGGCATCAGGAGCTGCAGGCCAGCCTCTGCTACTCAGCAAGTTCAGATAAGCCTAAACTAAATGAGACCTTGTTACGAAGGTGGGTGGGGGTGGGGAGTGCAGCTATGGTGTGGCGTGACTTTAATCCCAGCAAGCAGCAAATCTCTGTGACTTCAAGGCTACCTTGCTCTATCTACACAGCTAGTCCAAGGCCAGCCAGAGCCACAAGATACGATTCCGGTTCAAAAAACATAAACGAGAGAGAGAGAGAGAGAGACAGAGAGAGACAGAGAGAGACAGAGAGAGACAGAGACAGAGAGACAGAGACAGAGACAGACTAGCATTGGACAAGGTCCTGTCCTTCGAGTACCTGGTGAACTAACGAAAGGCACACTGTTCTTAATGAGTCTGGATTTAAACTGTCATCTTGCCAAATGTCAGTATTCTCTTGCAGTCATTTGGGTGCAGATCTCTTAGTTGAAGTAGGTGTGTTACAAGTGATCCCCCCATACCCTCACACCCAGCCCAGCACCCAGCATATGTCTTAAAACCTTTTTAAATATACTCATCACCTAAGGTTACCTTGTCATTATATGTTTTGTCCTTTAAACATCAAGTTCCGAAAAATAACATCAACACATTTTAGGAAATGAGTCACTAGATTTCCAAGAACGAGAGATGCCACACAGGATATACCTCAGAGCCTGTGTCAGAAAAGGGAAACTCGAGAGTAATCAAAGATTGGCTAAAAATTCAGTCTCCAGCTAAGTTCAGGCAAGACAGGCAGTGTGGCAGGAACAGGGTGATGGTTCCTCAGCACAGCGAGTATTCCCACCTGAAAACAAATCCCTGCATCTGTAGTATCAGCACATGTGATTGGACAGCACTCCCCAGGCATATGATCCATGTTGCACACCCCCACCGCCAAAAAAATCAACGTCTGTCTGTCTTATGTAATAGTTTTTCATCCTTTCTAGCTGAGTATCATTTTTAACTCCTACAAAAAAAAAAAAAAAGCAAGCAAACAAACAAAAACAAAAACAAAAAAATTCCAGGAGTTCTCTGTGCAATTCATATATACCTGCCTAACTCAAATTTAATTAAAGTTTGGAATTCATCTACTTCAGTACAATTTTAATCTTCAACAGCAAATTAAAGCGGACCAACATACCTATTCAAAACTTCCACCCAAGGCAAAAAATTTACAGGCCGCAGATTATTGGGAATGATCAGAAAAGTGAAAACTATCACACATTTTTGTTCTCCGATATAGAAACAAAATAATATTTGCTCCCCATCCCCCGTTTTTATTTTCCTTCTCTTCAAGAACAACATGTTCCCCTCAGGAGGTCGCGTATTTCTGTTTCTGCTTGTAGCCATCGGTCCTCTCTGCTTTCAAGGTGTATTTAGATAACTGCAGATTATCTGAAGATGTTGTTTCTGCATGCACTCAGTCGACAGTCACGGACACTGATGTTTTCACTGGTTTCTTCCAGTGGCTTCTAGATGCCAAGATTACGGTGTGTCTGGCAATGGACAGTGACATAAGATCAACACGTGATGCTTGGGGTGCCTTACCATCAGGTATACTAACAAACAAATAAAAAGGAGGGGGAGGAAGGGGAATAGGGGGAGGAGAGGGAGGAGGGAGAGGAGGAGGGGGAGGGAGGGAGGGGGAGGAAGGATGGAGAACAAAAGAGGGAGACTGCATCTAGAGTCACATTGTGACTTTGGTCCAGGAAAGAAAAAGCAAATTCGAAGTCTTTGATTTCTAACTGCCTCTTGTTGTACCCAGCTGAAGGTCATGAGCTCAAATTACAGCCCATCTTCCCAACTCCTGATAAACGTAGGAACACTGCTGAGTCCCTTGCTAAGAAATGCCCAGCTTAAAACACTTCTCGACCTCTCACATACACAATTTGTTTGGTGGTTATTTGTGAGAAGTTTTTCCAAAACAGAAGTTTCTGGGTATCCATAGGAAGACTTCCATCTGCTCAGTTAGCAGATCCTTAAAGAGGCACAAACTCCCTAAACAAAGCTGTAAATAAGGGCTTTCTACTGAGATTAAATCTGCTTGTGTTATAACTGTGCAGGAAGTTTCCATTTAGAAATTATACACATTCCCTGGTTTGTATTTACAAAGATTCTCCCCCACCCTAAGACAGAGTCTCACTATGTAACTCCGGCTTTCTTAGAACTCACTATACAGACCAGAATGGCTTTTAGCTCACAGAGATCCACCAGCCTCTGCCTCCTCAGTGCTTATTTACAAAGAATATTTAGAATGAGTGGTCATAGTATATCTGGTTGTTGCTTGTTTTTTGTTTGTTTTGTTTTTCAACACAGGGTTTCTTTGTGTAGCCTTGGCTGTACTAGAACTAACTCTGTAGACCAGGCTGGCCTTGAACTCACAGAGATATGTTTGCCTCTGCCTCCCAAGGGCTGGGATTAAAGGGGTGTGCCACCACCGCCCAGCTACACTTTTATTTCTTTGTTTCTAAATGAAACATAAATTAGTTGTTTCTACAATCACAATCAAAACCGACTCAGGTCTTCTGAATCTTATTTCAGGGTTCTTTTTCATATCACACTGGTCTCTTGAACCACTTGAGTGAATGACAAACTAGGATTGTCATGGCCACAAAACACATGATGACCTCATGGGATCCTTCAGCACTAAGAAGGTTTGTGTTTTAAACCTACTTAAACTCTGGAATTCTAACCTATCTATATACACACACATATATATATGATGTATTATATACTGTTATATAATCTACCCAGGAAGCCACCCCGAGACAGGATTTGTACCTCTCTGAGACAGCAAAAGTGTAAATATTTAAATAAAATGTTATAAGTGCCAGGAAATTCAAGTGCAAGGAAATATGCTCAATGTTTCCTTTTCACTCCCACTGGGGCAAGATTGGTGAATTACTGCTTCTAAGCTACCTGGGTCGAATAGACTGGGATAGGTCTGAAAACAGCCAGGTCCCGGGTCCTGAAACACACCACTGGACCCATGCAGAGGCTCGATGATCTGTGTCTTACCACCTCCTCAGATTCATGTTACACAAATTAGTATCAAGAACCATTGTGCTGAATATGTTTCATTCACATAAGACAAAATGGCAACTATTCAGGAGATACCATGCATGAAAGAGATTCAGCTGTCGGTCTCAACAACACTCGAACAATCAGGATATAATGTAAATTACAGGCACTTCAAGGGAGGCCGAGGAGAAACAGTTTATGTGGAATTCATTGTTCGTTTGTTATGGCTCCTCCCAGGGTCAAAACACTCAAGAGAAGCAGTGTAAAGATTTCAAAGACCGTTGGGGAGGTTCAGGTCCACAGTGGCCGGAGTCTGTGGCTGCTGCTACCGCATCCTGCTGGATCCTGAAGCAAAATGTTTGAGCTGGAACCAGAAGTAGATGCCACCGTCAAGGAGGACCCCCGGAGACCTACTTCTGTTAGCTAGGCGGGGCTTCCACCGTCTCCCGAACACCACCACAAGTGGGGGAGCAGGGTTTAGACCCATGCGCAGGCAAAGAGTTCTACCCGAACCCTAACAGTTGTGCTCACGCGAACCATTTGACTTCGTTGTATCTTGTTTTAGTCTTCTATAAAATATGAGTAACACTTGAGCGAACTTGAGATGTGAAGATTAACCCAGTGACAGTAATAAGTGTGTTGATATATTCGACTAGAGGCTAATAAAGGAAGGGATTATAGGGCAAGGCTCGTGTGTATCATATCCTGTCCCGGAGAATGCTGTCACTTGCATTTTAGCTAAAGGCAGTTATTCAAACGGGGCAAGAGCGCTGATGCTCAGAATTGGCAGCAGGTTAGAATAAGTCAGCATTTTTCATGAAAACTGGGTCACGTGGTCTTTAAAAAAAAAAAAAAAAAAAAAAAAAAAACTTTTACTTTTATTGAGAACCCCAGAGTAGGATAGGCCTCGACCTGCCTGGTTCTAGAAAGTTTTTGTCCTGATGACAAGATAATTAGCTACGTGAGAACTATAGTTTCCCCAGCAGACCTCAGCGGAGGAAGAAACATTTGCTATTACCTCTCTTCTTATAGTAGTTAGGATTTGACATCGTAATTCGCCATGACTTGGAATTTCAACAATAGCTGAATCCCTGAAACGATTTCTTGCTTGGACTAAGAGAGGTAGACTAGGAGCTTTCAAGTTAAACTTGTAATTTGGACTTCAAATATTCATTATAAAACTCAAGCCAAAGCTGAAAGAAATTACCCAGGGTCTGTGGAACGCAGGCCTGTCTCTTATGGATTGCAGGCCTATCTCTCGTGGAACACAGGTCTGCGTCTTACATTTCTTTTTTTCTCCACAAGTGAAAAAAGCGCTTTAATCCTATCTCCTCGGCTTTGCCTTGACTCGCAAACCAGTGGAAACAAACACATCTGACTGCCCCCTCACCCCCAACCATAATTTTAAAAGCATCTGTGAGATACAAATTCAGGCTTTTGAAGTTGGAAGTTTCTTCAGAAAAGAATTGAAGTGTTTTCTTTCTTTCTTTTTTAAAATTTTGCTTCTATGTGCCACCACATTAAATAGTAAAGCCAAATTACACTTTTTTTGCTTATTTAAAAATTTTGTTTCATTTTACATACCAATCGCAGTTCCCCCTCCCATCCTTCCTCCTCTGCCACCCCTCCATCCCCCCACCATCCACTCCTCCAAAAGGTTAAGGCCTCCCACGGGGAGTCAACAAAGCCTGGTACATTCAGTTGAGACAGGACCAAGCCCCTCCCCCTGCATCAAGGCTTAGCAAGGCATCCCACCACAGGGAGTAGGCTCCAAAAAGCCAGGTCATGCACCAGGGATAGATCCTGATCCAACTGCCAGGGGCCCCTCGAACAGACCAAGGTACACAACTGTCTCCCGTTTGCAGAGGGCCTAGTCCAGTCCCATGCAGGCTCCACAGCTGTTAGTCTAGAGTTCATGAGTTCCCATGAGTTTGGTTCAGTTGCCTCTGTAGATTTCCCCCATCATGATCTTGACCCCCGCCCCACTGCCTTGCTCATATCATCCTTCCTCTCCCAAATTATACTCTTAAAGTGTTTGTGTTATACCCAGGCATAGCCCATGCCTGTGATCCCAGTACTTGGAACTCTGAGACAGGAGTTTCCAATCCAACCAGGGGTACATAGTAAACAAAAGATAGAGAAGGCATTCAGGTTCCTTTTTACCCATCACTCGGGGTCTAAGTTAATAAACCCATTCTTCATGGAACAGTCTTCTCACTTCAGAGCTTTTGTTCTTCGTGTCTACAAATCTGCTGAGCTCGCTTGCAGCCCGTACCAGTCTCCTGTATTCTAGGAGGTTGTTTTTTTCTCGGCAGACCTTGACCCATGCTATGAGGATCCTCTCCCACAAAGGTATTGTGAAAGAACGGCTCCCCTGGAACAAGTTACTCGCTTATCCGTCCTCTCCGGAACAATGAGATACACTCTGGGATGTCAATACTATCTTTGGAAAAGATAAGACCTTAGATTCTGTAACGTTCTTCAGTATCGCTTTATGGGAAACACAATAGTAAATGTGTCTAGGGCACAGCTGCCATCTCCTCTTTTTTTTTTTTTTTTAATCATATTTTATGGCAACATCATAAATATTTCTGGAAAGCTGCAGTGAGTGTAGAGGGAACCTGGCATACACTCAGGTTTTTGCAGAAACACATGAACTACCTTGACGATCCGATGGATCCAGAAAACCCTGTTTGTTGGGTATTTCAAACAAGGGCTTTAGCGAAATGAGCTCAGTTGATGCCGCTGCCTTTTGACAACAGCTGTGAATCACTGATAGAAAAGCATGAGAACCCAGTCAGCAACTTAATTATATATCATTACCTAAGATAATGGCAACATTTTAGGTATGAATTAAACCTTTTGTGGTGGAGTCTTGCATCATTCCACAGTGTTGGTCCAGCCAGTGATTCTAAAAAAAAAAAAAAAAAAAAAAAAAAAAAATCTACAGACAAAGCACTGGCCCTTTATTGTTCATTTAAGAGTGGTTACAAACTTTCTTTGCATTCATTTTTCAAGACTGCAGGAGAAAGAAAGAACTTCTGTTCTGAAGGAAGAAGAACGGCTTTGATGAGAGGGAGGAGGTAATGGTTACAGAAGAGGTACTGAAACACACCACCAGAAATGGGTCAGAACAGTGCAGTTAAAGCCACACACCAGGCCCCGGACGCTCTTTGTCCTGACCTCCTACCCTTGACTGTAGGCTGGTCTTTATCTGGACCTTTTTCTAAGGGAAGACCAGATTACTTCTGAGACTCAGGACCCCAGTTATTCACTTCCCACCCAGGGTTTCTGTTCTGACGCCTGTGCACAGCACAGTTGTGAGGAGGAAGCATCATCACCTTCCCAGGAATACTGGCGCCACTCCCCTTTCCTGGCTTCCCCAGCAAAGTTCAATATGCAATAAAAAACAACCTGCAAAGATGGGAGAAAATTACAGAGGGGTCGTGGAGGTGGCCAGGCATCTGGCTGCAAGGTCTGAAGTGTTCCTGCTCCTTTTAAACAAGCATCAGTGGTGTAAACCACAATCACAGAGGGGCACCTGCACTAACCAGACTCACTCCCCACCAACATCATTAGTTTGGCCCATATTGTGTCTTTCAGTATGTTTTAAAAGTCAGATTTCAAGAAAGAAAAAAAAAAAAACGTGGTTTATATGTTTCTGGTTCCAGCTTTGAGACATCACACGTATGTGGGCATTTCTTCGGAGCCCCAACCCCAGGTCCTGAGAGGAGTCCAACCTTCCCTGAAAGATGTGGCAGAAACACTAACCAATCAGTCTCTTAAAGATGGATCTGCTTAGAGAGCTGGTGTTACTCAGCAAGCTCCACAAGCTTGGAAAGATTTAAATATGTTAGAACTCACAAGCCATTTTAAGTGGACTATTCTGTGACTTCACCCATCAAGGTTTCTTAGAAAATAGATTTGTTATAAGCTCATCCCTGTTTTCTCACAGTGTTTAGAAACAGAGTTCTCACCGGGGTTAGCACTTCCTTCTGGGGATTTTCATGTGTGGAAGGAAGCACATACGATCACAATTTGTTTGGGGATTTTCTTTTTGATGTGTGTGTGTGTGTGTGTGTGTGTGTGTGTGTGTGTGTGTGTGTAGCCTTTGGTGCCCTGGAACTCTCTGTGGAAGCCAGAATGTCCTTGAACTCACAGAAACCTGCCTGCTCTGACTCCCAAGTGCTGGTAATCTTTCTTTTTGAGACAGTCTTGATAGGAAGCCTGGGCTGGTTGTTTGTTTTAGTTATATTTTATTTGATCTTATGTGTATGTATGTGTTTGGGTGAATATGTGTCACATGATGGACACTGGCAGAGACCTGAAGAGTGTGTCAGATGACCTGAGGATGGAGTTACAGGCAGTAGTGAGCCATCTGACATGGGTGCTAGGAACTGAAGTCGGGTCCTCTGAGAGAACAGCAAGCACTCTTAACCACTGATTCATTTCTGCAGTCTCCCTCACTGATTTTTTTTTGGGGGGGTGGAGGATTGGAGGGTTGAAACTGGGTTTCTCTGTAAAAGCTCTGGTTGTCCTAAAACTCATTCTGTAGACCAGGCTGGCCTCAAACTCACAGAGATCCATCTACCTCTGCCTCCTGAGTGCTGGGATCAAAAGGGTGCACCACCACTGCCCAGCCTCCGCTTTTAACCTCTGCCTCCTGAGTACTAGAGGCCTGTGTCACTTGCCCAGCTTATATCTTTTCCAGTTGTTGCTACTGTTAGCTAATTTGTGTTAACTTTTATTGTGTGGCTATTTAAAAAAAAGACTTTTTCTCTTCAGAAACCTCTTATTTCCCCCAAGCAACCCCCTTGCAGTTGAAGAAAAGGCAAATGAGAAATGCAATGCACTAAGAACAATCCACTCTACTAGTCACCGATGGCAAAGTCATGCTGATTATTCTCCCTCTGGGTCTGCCATAAACAAACTGTGGATGGAGCTCTAACTTCCTCCACTCTGAGGAGACATAGGTCTCCCATTAAAGCAAGGATGGAACTGTCCCCACCCCACCCCACCTCTTACATTCATGCCATTAAGGAAGATGTGGATTTGAAAGTCTCTCTGTCTCCACGGCTGTTTCTGGACATGGTATACAATCATTTCATGATCATTGTTTTCACTGTCATATTGTGATTGGCAGGAGAAGAAGAAAGTGGAACATGTGAGCTCTGGTCTCTGCAGCCGCGTGAAACAAAGTACAGCTTTCTCTCTTCCAGCTGAAATGGTATTGTTATTTTAGCCTTTTCTCCCAGGACTATTTCTCAACTGTAATTAGTCTTATTGTGCTCCTCTGGTAACTCCCAACTCTTCCTCTTGGAACACTGGTTCTCATGACCAGTATAGGCTCCTGCTTCTATCTGCAGGGTTCTTACATGAAGGAAAACCAACTCTTATTTTTTTTTAACAATTAATACATGCTTTCTTGTATAGTTTAGCTGCAAACATTCACTTATTAGCCATCCCTCCAAAGTGAATAACTGCAACATCTATAAAGATTCCTGAGCAAATAAATCTTTTTTGGAGTTAAATGAGTCTGTATTATCATTGTTTTGCCACTCATTCAAATTTTCTAAATTTCACTTATCAGGCCCCAAAGTGGACAAAGTTCCATAATAACCATAACGATAGCCTTAAGCGCACTGAATAGAGTGAAGAGTTGACCACTGGGAGGACTCCTCTAGTCTTCTAATTATTCCATTTACATTTGTATTCTTTAATCCTAATTGTATTGCCCATGATACTACACTGCTAGTTCATGCATGACTAGTCACACATGGAGATTTTTGAATTCTAAAATAGACAGACTTTATTTCTTAACTTCAAAATATAATACTGATTATTGTGTCTTAACTAGTTATGAATCTACAAATTTCAGTTCACCTCAGTTCAGTGTGTGTGTGTGTGTGTGTGTGTGTGTGTGTGTGTGTGTGTGTGTGTGTATGTAGTTTGGAAAGGGATTGTGTGTTATTTGCTTAGCTGTTTTTACAGACAAACTCTTGCTCTCTAGCCCAGGCTGGCCTCCACTTGTGATCTTTCCTGCTTTTCGTGAGTCCTGGCATTAGAGGCTTTGCCACCACACCCAGCTCTAACATCTGTGATCCATTTGTCAGTCTAATCCACTCGGTCTTGAAAACTGTTTCCACCTTAGATACCTTATGTACAAGAAAGAGAACTGAGAGGAAATTGGAGCAATGAGAAAAGAAGGAAACTGTTGTGAAAGGGAAGTTCAGGATCTGGCCAATGGTGGAAAGTGTGTCATGAAATGGTATAAAAATAGAAATGTGCTTTATAATTTTACATGTTGGGAAGGCTATGTGAACACAAATATTAATAGACTAAAGTAATCCTGAGCCAGCATTTTGCTTATAACACTTTAAATATTACTGTAGCTTTCCAAACTATTGATAATGGTGCCTTGAAAAGTCAAACGCAGCCAGATATAGTGGCCCATACCTGTAATCCCAGCACTCAGGAGCCTGAATCAGGAGGCTGAAGGATTGTAGATAGATGAAGGCTAGATTAGACAACAGAGTGAGACGCTGCTAAGAAAAAGAGACAGGCAGACAGACGACAGACAGGGCGAAATTAATACATTGTAGTTAGTTGTGTTGGCTTATACCACAGTTTTGGAGGCTGAGGTTGGAGAATCATGAATTCAAAGGCTTGAGCCATATAATAAGAACCTATCTAAAACACACACACACACACACACACACACACACACACACACACACACACACACATACACACACACACAAATTCTTTTTTTCCTATTTATTCCAATCCAATTTCAGTCATCTATGAAAAGAATTTGTCCTACTAAATGATATTATTAAAAGCTCATGCCATTCTCTATTTATTATTTTGGATTTAAATCAGCAGTTCTCAACATGTGGGTTGTGACCCCTTTGGGCACTGATTGACTGTTTTACAGGGGGTCACCTAAAACAATTTGCCTATCATATATTTATATTATGGTTCATAACAGTAGCAAAATTACAGTTATGAAATAGTGTCAAAGATAATTTTATGGTTGAGGGGTCACCCCAACATGAGGAACTGTATTGAGAGGTCGCAGCCTTAGGAAGGCTGAGAACCACTGCTTTAAATGATTGAAATTAATAAAATGTCATGCTAAACATGTACTCCACTTCGCTGAAATACTCTTACAAAGTAATCATTTCAGCTGAGTCTGTGAAAGAGGATTGCCTGCATTATTCTTAACATACAAACTTTTTGAAAATGCGGAAATTGCAATTTCACTTATGAAATGGAGATGTACTGAATAGTATATTCAATGTATTCAGCATATGTATAGTGCCTATACAGCCATACCACCTTGACCATACCTGTCTTGTCAGAAACATACATATATACAGAAAGAAGCTGACATTTCTACCTAGTTTAGTACAAATTAAAGGACTTTCTACTTTCAGGCAGATTCTACAGAAAGATTGTTCTTTAGTGCATAGCAAGTTTTCAGAAGGAACAAAAGCCCAACTCTAGAACTCAGTCTCCTCTGCTACCTACCATCCCTATAAATGGAAACGTCTACTTTTCTAGGCTGGAGCCGGGAAGCAATCTTAAACTATTCATTTTAAAAGATGCTTGATCAGGTGACAAGGAGTTAAATATGATGCATGTTAAAGCACACACCTAGACCACAAAAGTTGTCTTCTCATCAAACAGTTTTGGGGCCCAGTGTTAGAATTTAGTGGTAGGATGCTCGTCTACCACACTCAAGGTGCTGTGTTTGAGCCCCAGTAGATGAAAATTCTTATTGTAACCAGGAACATTAATCTGCTTTAGAACAACTCTCTGGGAAGTGATGTCTCATTTGTATGGAAACCATTTTATTAGTCTCCAGATTTATGTAGAACTGTTAGATTAAAATGCCCTAAGAGCTAACAGTAAAAATAATATTTGAATAAAGAACTAATTTTTACTAGAGGCTTGGCATGTCATTTTATCTCCCCAAATACACCTTCATAAAATATCCCATTCATAAGCATCTCAAGGTTAGACATGAGCCACTTAAAATGACACTGTGAGTTTTAGGTTGGCCCGTGGAGGGGCAGCACTTTCCAAAGTCGAGGTTCTGAATGCTTCAATAATGAACGAGATTTTAGAAGTATTTGCCAAGATGAGATAAATGTAAATATTCTCTAGGCTGGTTGGGTTTCTAGAAACAACAAGATACATTTCGGTTTCTTTAAAACATAAATTAGGATGTAGTAACAGTGCCTGGCCCACCATTTGCTTCTCATCTAAATCCAATGAACGTGAACCATAAAGAAAGAAAAAAAAATCACTAACTCTCCTCAGAATGAACACCTCTTCGGTGTCCTACAGAAACTTCACTTAAGGCCTTGTTCGTTATGAACCGTGCTTCATGAAATATTCCCTCCCATCTGCCAAACCTTAGGACAACTCTTGTAAAAATACGGTGCAGATAAACAGTGGCCGTCTTACATAATGAGATGTCCTTGCCAAATGGGAGTAAAAGAAGACAAGAAACCTGCCTCCCACTGAGCAACATGTTCCAGGCCTAGCGAGCCTGAAACTCCATCATTCATGGCATAGTCTGGCTCCCGGCAGAAGCTCGGCTTCATGCTGGGCTACTGGAGAGAAGAGCTCGGTGGTGGAGCCTTTCACAGCACAGAGGCATCAACTATCTCCTTTCTCCTGCTGTTGGAGTGTGACGGCAACATGGGCAGAGATTCTGCTGCCATCACGCATACCACCACACCTCATTTGGGGTTGTAATGGGGATGGGACCCAAGCCTTTGTGCATGCTAGACAAGCATCCTACCATCTGAGCTGCGTCCTCCGTCCTCAATTCTGTTTTCTGTACCAGAGAATGTTTACAGGGAGAGAAATCCCATTGACCAGGTAAGTCAACCTGGAGAAACCATCAGAACCTATTCATCCCAGTTCCCAAAGGAGATACTTGTCTGGACATAGTTTTGATGACAGTGTGTGAGCCCTCACTGTTCAATAGCATCCTTCACTACATGTGGAATCCTCTGTATATTTTGTAGTTCCTATACCTCAGCTTCTCCTCAAAGGGAGATTAGAGTATCACCTATTGTGCACTGTTGCTACAGAGATTGAATGAGTTAGTTTGACAAAGTTCTGAAAACAGTGCCTGGCACTCTTAATGAAGGGCCTGTAACTGCTCAGCTAGTAACTAATGCAAGCCCGGACTCAGGCACGAAACAGCATCATTGTAGGGCGATTCCTAATTGGTCTTAATAACAAAAACCCAATTCATGTATCTCCCAAGCACTGGGATCAAAGGCATGAGATCCCAAGTGTGGGGATTAACGGTGTGTGCCACGGCTGCCTGTTTTCTATGGTTAACTAGTGGCTAACTCCACCCTCTGATCTCCAGACAAGCTTTATTTGTTAAAACACTAACAAAATATTACCACACATCATACTATGCCAGGAAAGGCTAGACACCACAGAAAGAAGAGACAACCAGTCCTATCTTTGATAAGCACCTTTTCTTAAATATATAAGCTATTTCTGGGCATTGTGGCACACACCTTTAATCCCAGCACTCAGGAGGCAGAGGCAGGCAGATCTCTGTGAGTTTGAGGCCAGCCTGGTCTACATAGTGAGTTCCAGGACAGCCAGGGCCCACATAGTAAGATACTATCTTGAAAATAAACAAACAAACAAAAAAGCTGTTTTGCATTGGCAATAAAAATATTTAATTATTAAAATTTGAACAGTCATGGTCACTGTGATCTATTTTATACAATATTAGCCTCCACCCCCACCCCACCCTATCTTTTGAGACAGAATCTTGTGTACCCCACACTGGTTTCCAATTCACTGTGTAGCTGAGAACGACTTTGAACCCCCGACCCTCCACCCTGTACCTACCCACTAGATTTCGAGATTGCAGGGTTGCTTTCCATGCTCAGCTTTAGAATCCTTCTCTACCTGTTTCAAAAGCACAAACTTTTAATGCAGCCAATAAAAGTTTTTGAAAACAAAGTTAGAAAAGTTAAGAAATAAATGCAGTACAATGAACAATGCCATTCCTTTCCATCATCTTTTCTATTGTTGAACTTGGCATTACTGTGTAGGAAACTCTTTGACTCTTGGATGTTAAAGCCAGTTGAGGTCCACAGCCTCTCTGAAAAATCTAAAGTAACCAGAACTTGTGCCCACCCCACCCCCATATTACTTTTTCACATGCAGAACATCAATTACCAGAGATATTATTCAGATAGCATAATTGCTATTCACTGGTTTGTATACTGTGGGACTAAAAATATTTAAAGGCATCTAAAAAAAAAAACCAAAATACAAAAAACAAAAAATAACTCTGAGTCTTTGAATCATTAAAAAGGGATTCCAGGGCCCCACCTCTAATGTCTATCTCATACTCTGTCACTAATTTCTTTAAACACTTTTGATACCGTCTCTGTTTTAGATTCTATAGCTGAATAGGAAAGGAATAGATTTCTTTTTAAAATTATGGACATCTGGCCAGCTTCTGTATTACCGGAAGATGCTATGAAGATTTCCGTGGAGAAGTCTTCAACTGTCTTACCTACCTGTGAACCTCATAACCTACAAAAACAACTGCCCTGGCAAAGTATGTTCACTGGTGAAATAGTGGCGTAGCAGTCTAGAGGGTAACCAGTCATCTTTTATAATAGACTTATGGCCTATTCCACAGAGAGCCACGGCTGGGAGCTCATAAGCTCTATGGGAGAACCTAATACAATTATTTGGCCAAATGGTCATAGTACCAAATCATCATCAAATACTTGTGTTCCTCCTCATAGTTTTGTGTAAGTCTTGGTCCTCATCGGAGAAGCATCTGTGGACAGTAAGTGACAGATAACACAGAGACTCGCAGCTGGTCAAAGTGTACAGGATATGTGACTATGGAGTCATCATCCATTAATAAAGAAAGGAGCTATATCACACACACACCCTCCTCACAAAGCTCAAGCAACTTCACAGGAGAACTGTGACAAAACAGTGTCTTCCAGACACAATGGATCCATGGTACTCATGAATTCACAGAAGCTGCAGTTGCCTGTACAAAATGTACGCAAGATCAAGCCAGTCAAAATTCCATCCTGGATGAAGGAGGGGCTCTTGAAGCTCCATCCCTGCTGGGTGGGGGAGTCCATCTTCCTCAGAGTGCACATCCCCTGATAGGTTGACTGTGCTCGAGTGCATGGCCTCACACACCTGTGCCTTTATGAGTAGCACTAATTAGACAAAATGGAAGGAGAAGGAAGAGGAGGAGGAGAAAAGGAGGAGGAAGAGGAAGAAGATATAAAGTGGGGAGGAGGATGGGGCAGGGAAAATCCAGGAAGGGCTGGAAAGGGAAGAGGGGATACATTCAAAATACACTGTATATTCTTGTTTGCTTTTTTCTCTCTTGTGAGCCCACCATCCTGCTCCCAAATAAATCACACAGGGGAGGCTTATTTTTAATTATGAATGCCTGGCCTTAGTTTGGCTTAGTTTCTAGCCAGCTTTTCTTAAATTATCCTGTCGACCTTTTGCCTCTGGGCTTTTCCCATTCTCTTACTTCTGTAAATCTTACTCTTCCTCCATAGCTTGCTGTGTAGCTGAGTGGCTGGCTCCTGGAATCCTCCTCCTTCTCTGGTTCCTTGATCTGCGTTTCCCAGATATATATATTTATTCTCTCTGCCTGCCAGCCCCACCTATCCTTTCTCCTGCCTTGATATTGGCCGTTCAGCTCTTTATTAGATCATCAGGTGTTTTAGACAGACACAGTAACACAGCTTCACAGAGTTAAACAAATGCAACATAAACAGAAGTAACACACCTTAAAAATAATATTCTACTACAGTATATATGGATGACATTCTCAAATGATTAAGTGCTATTTAAAACTTGGTTTTGTTGCTGGGAGAGGTCTGCTAGTTTGTTTTGGTTGGCTTTGAGACAGAGTTCCACTAAGCAACCCAGGCAGGCCTGGAACTTGAGATACTTCTGTATCAGCGCGCCCCCTCCCTCCCCTCCCTGCCCCAGCCCCCCAGTGCCGTGATCACAGGCATGCGCAGCCATGTTGAGCTAAAACCTGGTTTTTGAGCATATCAGGACATTTTATTCTGCTAATAAGGTACTGTTAAAGACAATTGGGGGGGGGGAAACGGCCATATTCTCTCAAGGTTGATACTAGACCTATCCTGTTGACTTGTGTTTGTTTCTAGCTTGTCCGTTTCTGCGGTGCTGGGGATGGGACCGAAGACCTCATTTGTGCTTCACAAGCACTCTAGCACTGAACAGCATCCCTGTGTCGGTCACCTTGACAGAAATGGTCATTGAGATGGTTTTCGTAATTCTTATTTCCAGATCGGAAAATATGGGAGAGCAGGTTAGCCTCGATCATTCCCACTCTGATTTTTTGAGACGGAATATCTCAATGAATGAGGAACTCTCTGATTCAGCTAGACAACTTGAATCGAAAGCCCTGGAAACCTCCTGCCTTATCTCCCCAGTACTGTGATTACAGGGTCAAGCCAAGATGTAGAGACTGGACATTGAACTCAGACCCCCCATGCTCACATGACAAGCTCTTTACCAGCTAAGCTCTTTCCTCAGCCCGCCCCCCCCAACTTCCATTTTATTACAAGTTTGGTGTTCACTGACATGTAGAACATAACACATGATACCATAGGCATCCCACAAAAGGGAATGGCCAGCATCAGAGGCTATAGCAGCTCACCTCCCACAGTCTCTAGGAGGCTGCTACTTGTGGGCAACTTCTGCAAATTAAGTCTGCCCAAGGTTGTTTTCCTCCCCAGGGAGACCCCGGCTCATCTGCCTGTCAGCTTGTCTAAACAGAAAGATAAGAACACAAACCTCTCAAAAGGCAGTTGACTAGTTAAGACAAGACGGTGACAGCAATCTTTACAAGCAGAACAATTTCCCAGCAGCCTCTTCGGCCCACTCCATTTCACTAAATGAAAGGGGAGTCTAAAAAAGCCTTGGGAAAAGGCAGTCTGACTCTGGGTGTGCACATGGGAGGGAAGACCGTGATGTGACTTGTCAGAGTCCCTCTGTTTCATAAGCTGGCACCATGCTGGCTTAGACTTGCTGGCTTCTGATGGGCTCCGGTTGTGAGCTTCAGGAAGTGCCACAGGGGAACTCACCTAGTCTTCCACAGCAACCCCAGACATCTTTCTTCCAAAAACCACCAGCTGGTTTTTAAAAAAAAAAAAAAAAATACTGTTAGGTAGGGAAAAGTCAATAACATCTATGCATTCCTTAATAGATACTATTCTCAACAGTCAGGGTAAATGGTATTAATATGAGATATGGTATGTATTGCTTTGAAATCGCCTTATTGTTTTTTAAGCAGTTCATTTCACATCTGTGTATGGACTGAGCTGCTGTAGAAGACATGAAACCAAGGGGTTGGATTTGGAACCAAACTTGTGGCCCTATGCATAATGACAGAAAATTCCAGTCACAGAAGTATCTCTGTGGCCAAACTACTATAAACTGTCTAGAATATTTAAGGGGGAAAAACACACACACACACACAAAAGAAAACAAAAACAAAACACGGTGGTGTTCTGTTTTTGTTTTTTTCCCAATGTGTTTTCTCCCCAGGCCCTTTCATTACCATATTGCAAATTAGTAACAAAACAGAATGGAAAACCCAGATGCTCAAATGATCTCCTCAGAAAGCTCCTGACTCTGAGAATAGTCTCCCCAACTGGGTGTATTTTTCAGAAGTGATGGCTTTCCTCAGGGAGGAGACTGCAGTACAGAAAGCCTGGAATTCCTGAGCAAGGCTCCAAAAAGGTCACCTTTCCGTTTACATTCTCATTTTGAGCTTTCCCTAGAGGCGCCGGGAATGTTGTCCGGGTTTTACTTCAGCGTTTCCTTCAGCGTTAACCTGGAGCGGGATTTCAGCGAGCCTGTGTGCTACCCGCATGGGATTCCAGACTTGTCCTTCCATGTGGCAGCCAGACAGCCAGCGTTCTTGCTGATTCACTGGGACAGGCTAGCAGGGTGCAGGGCAGCGACCCGGTGGAGACAGGGCCTGGAGCTCACTGTAAACCCCAGCTTTGTCTAAACTCAAACCGAGGCTTTTAGACTTCTCATCAGCTTCTTCATCAGCACCACGGGAACCAGCCTGGTATTAGAGCACTTAGCTTTGTTTTCTTTGATGAAGTGCTTTGAAGATGAGAAGAGTTGCGTTTATTTTGTTTAGCAACATAAATTAATGGGGTCAGAAGCATGACACATCCTGTGTTTGGTGGCACTTCTTGATTTACTTGCCCGGCCTATCCCATTGCCTACCCGGTCCGGTTCATCCCAGCCTGTCGCTGATGACTGGCTCCAGGTGACTTTACTTTCAGGATTTAAACTCAAAACCTTTATGACTGAGCAAACAAGGTAGACGTTAAGAAATGTGTTATAGTCATCGGTCTCTAGGTAGACTGTTGTGTCACACCCAGGGAAGCTGGTCTAACACTTCCATACATTCGACTTAAGGCCAGCTAGACCGCTCAAGGTAACAACTACGACAATTAGGGAATCAAACATGCAAAGCAAACTTTCTCAGTTTTTAAGTAGGAAAGCCTGAATTTGGCTAATTCCTGGAATATCTCGCCTTTTACCAAGGTTCAAGATCATTGCATGATTATCAAGTGAAGCATAAACATGCTTACTTGATTTTTTAAAAATTTACATTTTGTATGTGCGTCTGAGTGCAAGACCTCATGCCCATCCAGCCCCCTGGAACTGGAGGTCCATGTGGTTGTGAGCTGTCATGTGATGCTGGGAATCCCACCCTGATCCTCTGCAAGAGTAACAAGTGTTCGAAACTGCTGAGCTATTTCTGAAGACCACAAAACTTACATCTATTCTCAGTGATCACTTGAATTTTGTTAGATACATAATCACATAACATTTGAAACACACACACACATATATATACACCTTCAAATTTTTTGAGTATGCTGAATAAAAAACTTGAAGATGATTAGTTTTAGCTTATCACATTTTTTGCCAGGTTCATAATATCTCAGCAAAGAATCGGAGCAAATAATTATAAAATGTTCTTTGGGCCAGGTCTGGTGTCACACCCTTTAATTCAGTACTTTGGGAGCAGGGGAAGACAGACCTCTATGAGTTCCAGGCTACCCTTGTCTACATGTCAAGTTCTAGGCCAACAAGGGCTACATAGTAAGATCCTATCTCAAAACAGACAAATAAACAAACAAAAATGTACTTGAAGTCACTGTGGTGGTTTACTCCTGTAATTCTAGCGTTCTGGGGGAGAGGCAGGAAGATCAGTCACTTCAGGCCACCCTCAGCTGCATTAGAAATTAGACTAGGCTAATAAAAATCAAACAAACACACAAATAGTAAACAGGGGGCTAGAGAGATGGCTTAGCAATGAAGGTGTCAGATCCCCTGGGAATGGGAGTTACAGACAGTTGTGAGCTGCCCTGCAGGTGCTGGGAACTGAACGGCATCCTCTGGAAGAGCAGCCAGAGCTCTTAACAGCTGGGCCATCTCTCCGCACCATAAAGTATATTTTGTTTTGTTTTTGTTTTCAGTCATCAAAAGTGGCCTCAAATATAAGTTTAGGAAATTGCCAAAAAAATAGAATTCAAAAGTAAAGAGGCAAGAATTTAGTTTTTCCTAATTTGGGGGCCCATGTTTTACAATTTCTCCAGACATTTTAGCCAACATTGTAATAACTTTGGACAGACCAAAAAAAAAAGTCAGTCATGGTTGCATTTTCTACACTGTAAGGGCATATTTTATTTATTCTAGAGTCTAAGTACCCTTTCCATTGTTCTGAGTGACTCTTCCACTGGATGGTGTTCTACAATTTGGCTCAGCTAGTACGTTAGTCTAGATTTTATGTCGTAAAGTCAGTTTTCAGATGTGATTAAGAGTTAAGCCAGTGAACTTTAAATTAATCATATTAGCCTTCCTAATGTGCTCGGGCTTGTATTAGATACTTTTCTCGTAGCCGTGATTAACCTACCTGAAAAGAGTGACTTCGCAGAAGAGGGATTTCTTTTGACTTGCACTCTGAACCGGTATAATCCAGCACAGCAAGGAAGACACAGCAGAATTCCTGGCAGCAGCAATATGTGGACAGGCAGCTTCATGTCTCGACACCAGGAAGCGGGGAGCTTGTGCCCTACCAGGACAGACTATAGGTCTCAGAGTCTGCCCCCTAGCAAACTGACTGCCTGCAAATTCCACAAATTCCTGAAAGAGCTCCCCGCTAGGAAACTAAGTGTTGAATCACGGGAAGCTGCACTCAAACCACAGTGGATGTGCACAGGCCCTGTTGGTTTTCCTGGAGCACCATGAGTAGTGAAACTGCCTTTTCTTTTTTTCTTTTGCCCCTGTGTTTTTCCCTTGGCCTTCACCTCTCCACACCTCCTTGGGTGACATAAATGGTTAAGAAACAGACCCAGGGGGGATGGGAGGGAACCTCAAAAACCAAGAGATGAGGAGACAAGGTGTCATTATGCTCATGCCCTGGCTGTGTTTGTGGAAGGGCATCCTGTGGCCTTGGCTGTGTTTATGGAAGGGCGTCCCATGCATCACCAACAGAAGAGAAAAGGGGATTATAACACCAGCAGTGAGGTCTGTACAGAGAACAAAATACAGTTGAGCACTCGTGGAAATCATATATATGGATTTTCAAAGTTGTGCTAGTCACGGACTTTTAATACCGCAATTGATCTCAAATCACAGACTTCGTTTATTTGCTGTATGGCCCATGCCAAATAAATGTGGTGTGCCCTGGGGGAAAAGCTTATATCCTAGCCGCCTCAGTGGGGCCGCTTGACACAGGTCATTCCTGCTGCAGTGACTCAGCCTCTCTCGGGCTCCTTGAGAAGAAAAGTGTCACACCAGGAAGCCCGTGGATCTCTCAAGGTCACGGCTCATCATGCTAAAGCACTGTCCAGGGAGTCTGCCTCCGCTGTGTCATCATTCTGTGATTGCTCTGGTCAGCTGTGCCGAGACTTCATTTTATAGACAGCAATACAAAGCCAAGGCCAACCCGTGGCTAGAGATCAAAGACTCGAAGACGTCCAGCTCTCACTATGTGTGGTGGTTCACGTGTCCATCACCCCAGTGCTTGGGAGGCTGCAGCAGCAGAATTACTGTACAGTTAAGACAAGCCTAGGCTATATATCGAGTGCCAAGCCAGCTGTCTACCATGGCACGACCCCATCTCAGCAACGACCCTCCCACCCTGCCTAATGTCCCACCAGAAGAAAAGGAAAACAAAACCTTTCCAGCTTTTACACTCTGAATGAATGCAGAGAGGACTGAGTGAGCACCCTGTTTGGACATCACAGAAAAAATCCCTTCCGGTACTCAAATATTCGGATCTGAACCTTGCATCGCACAGGTCAAAAAGGGTCAGCCTAGGCCACACAAATTGAATAGCAAAGTTTGCCCAAGTGAGCCAGTCTATATCCATATATACATGTGTATGTAAACTTTAATGAGAAAACAAACTATACTTCTCAGCAACAGAGGGGTCTGGTGTCTGGCACAGGCTTGAAGTGGAATGCTAGAATGTCTCTCCCAAACATTCTCAAAGTTCAAGTTGAAAACATGTTTTTGAATACATAGAGAAAAGAATTTAACTCACTGTGGTTGTTTGAAAGAGATATTCCTCCCGCCCCCCCCCCCCCTCCGCTGAAGTCCAGGCATTTAAATACTTGATTCCCAGTTGGTAGCTGTTTGGGGAGGCTTAAGAAGTGTGGCCTTGCCGTTTTCACTTCACTCTCTTTGCTTCCTGTTTGTGTCTAAACATGTGAGCCCTCGGACTCCCAGCTTCCAGCTCCAGTTGCCGCGTCTGCCTGCTGCTGTCTCCATTGTGATGGTGAGGTACCCTTATCCCACAGGAATCGTAAGCCCTAAATCAGCAGTTTTCAACCTGTGGGAAACGACCCTTCCAAAAGAGTTACCCAAGACCATCGGAATACACAGATATCACGATTCATAACAGGAGCAAAATTACAGTTATGGAGTAGCAATGACAATAATTGTATGGTCCGGGGTCGCTAGAACATGAGGAATTGTATTAAAGGGTCACAGCAGTAGGAAGGTGGAGAACCACTGCAATCCTCCCTTCTGTAAGTTGCCTTGGTTATGGTGTTTAGTCACAACAATATCAAAGGAACAAATCCCCCTGTGCTCTCCATGTAAGTCTCCAAACAAGTCAAAGTGAGAGGCTTGACTCTAAACGCAGGTGGAGGCAAAACCAAAATTGACCAAAGTCAATTCTACTCTTGGGAATCTCCAGCTGGGGGCCCCATTCCAAACCCCGCCCAGGTGTTTGGCCGGGAACTTGGGCCCCACGCCTCCCATTCTAGAACCTGCCCAAAGAAAGCCTGCCCAGCAGCGACTCCTCCCCCGGGAGCTCCTCAAGACCACGCATGTGTGATACAGGGTATCTAAGGTCTGGTCCACAGACATTCCACATAGTTTCTCCTCTTCCCCTGAGACCATCCGGGGATGCTTTGCTCATTAAATCTGGACTTTTATATTTTTGTTTGTGAGCCTAGCCTTTAACAGCTAAGCCATCTCTCCAGCCCAAATCTGGACTCTTAATTCAGCTTGATTTGGCTTGTCACGTCGGTGGAGTTACCCACTACCGGGGATTTTTCATAACACTTATCACCTACAGCATTCAAGAGGAAAAGAAGAGCTATCCAAGGAGCTTTTGAGTGCATACTATATCCCAAACGTCTTTATTACGTCTGATCTTGAAACGTTGAAGTGGTACTATTGTTGAATTTGTACCATGGCCAATGTAAAGGCCAGCCAGTTTCGGTAATATGTCTGCTCCACATTATAAACAAGCCAGCGTGGCTAAGCAGTTGCTCATTTCTATAAATCCAAAAAGGAAGTAAGGATAATCATTTTTTGCATAATGATTTACATAGTATCATATACCAAGCTATTTGACTCACAATAGACAAACTATATAGACTGCCTTTGAATATTTTTTCAAGCAAAAATGAATATATCTTTACACGTTATGGATAACTTTTAAAAGAGCATGACAGTTTGGGACTTGGCTAAAATATATTTCAGTGAGAGTGCCTGTTTCCCCCACATGTTTTCTGAGAACCATGGTGCCTTTAACTGGTATAATGATGACCGGTTGGAGGAAGACTAAATTATCCATCAGCCTCTAACCCAATCAGCAGGTTGAGAGCTTTGACCTACTTCTCCAGAAACAGAGACTGAGGTGGGCTAGGATGTTGCTCAGTTGGCAGAGTCCTTGCCTCCCAGCACCAAGGAAACCTAGTGTGGTTGCAGAAGCCATTAATCCCAGGTCTCAGGAAGTGGAGGCAGGAGGATCATCCTTATGGACATGTTGAGGTTCAGGTCTGCCTGTTGGCACTACATGAGACCTTGTCTCAAAATAAGGGGGGAAGGGAAGGGGACTTGAGGTGCAACTCAGCAGGTAAAGGTGCTGCCACCAAGCCTGAAGACCTGAGTTTGAGAGCCAGCCCCCATACAGTAGAAGAGAAAACCAACTCTCATGCTGTCTCCATAGCATATTTGTGCATGCGCGCAAGCACACACACACACACACACACACACACACACACACACACACACACAAATGAATAAATAAATGTAACTTATAAGAAAAAAAAACTTTAAGGAAAAATAAAACCTAGAGTTTGAGAGATGGTTCAGAGATTAAGAGACATTCGAGATCTTTTGGAGGAGACGGCAGCATGCCTCACTACATCCCATGGACTATAAAAAGATATGCTCCTGAACTTAGGATACAGCTTAGCGATATCCTAATAGTGTTACCATATTTCACCTTTATAAAGGTACAAAAAA